TGRTGRTGATGATGATKWKWTGATGATGATGATGATTTGATGATGGTGATGATGATGATGGTCATGATGGTCATGATGATGATGATGGTCATGATAGTGATGTTGATGATGGTGGTGGTGATGGTGATGATGATAGTGATGATGATGATGATGAGATGATGATGATGAAAAATAAGGAAACTAACGTTACCTGTAAGACCATCAAAACTGCTATCCAAATCCTTATTTTCAGGTGATGATAGGGTCAGCTGGATTGCTGGTGGATGTGAACCTCGCCTTTCTTCTCTCCGAGGGGGAATGGGTGGGGGCGAAGCTTGATCATCATGACTGCTCCCTGCTCTGTCTCTAGTGCTAGATCCTTTGGAGATAGGTGTCTTGATGGCAGCAGATTGAGAGTGTTCGCAGGAGCCTGTCCTGGTAGGTGGCGATGACGGACATGAATGATCCCCGCTAGATTTTCGTGTTCTTGGAGGAAGCGGAGGTGGGTCAGATTTCTTCCTCGGGGGAAGAGCAGGAGGAGGTTGATTGGGAAGTTCTGCTCGCTCTCTTTCCCTTTCTCTCGCTCTTTCTTTCAACTCATCGCGATGATCAAAGGTCGGTCTGCCCAACGAAGGGTCGTGTGATGCTCTTCTTAACGACGAGGTGCTTTTGCGGAAATGTTTTGGGGATCCCTCAGGGGTGGGTACTTCAAGGCTCGTCTCTGGGGACCAACCTTCGTTGTCGATACCCGGGCTAAGGGCGGAGACACTTCTTGCGCGTGATTCTACGTCTTTCAAAGAGTCAGGAGCAAGACAATCACAACTCGCTCGTCTTTTAGTCGATGCCACTGGAGACAAAGAGAAATTATTGAAAACTTTGTTTAAAAATTTTGAAGCTCTGGAGCCACGTCGCTTGAAGCTGGTGTCTCCTTCGCTGTCGGTGTTCTTGTCATCTTCGTGAGACTGTGATGCCGAGTGTCCATTACTTCGAAGAGAACTTGATCGAAGTCTTTCAAGCTCAATCATCGATAGCTTCCCTTCTTGTGGTTCTTGGATTGAAAGATGCGTATAGGACTTCTTCTCCAAAACAAGACTAGACCCAGAAGTTGTTCTTTCTAAAAGTCGTGCAGTAACGAGTGATTCAGGCCCACATGATGCGCCAAATACAGGAGTATGAGGACCCAAAGGTGAATGGTGCCTGTTGATTCCTTTACGAAACTGYTCAGACCGCCGTTGTACCCCTTCAAAAATATCTCCCATGGAAGCAGAATTTCTGGATCTAGAAGTGCAGGCGAGTTCCCTCCGCGCAGGAAGTGGAGGAGGCTTGTCGTTCAATGAATCAAATCCACTGTGAGACATACTTTTTTCAATGATCTTCTTAGTCCCTATTTCAGAAGACACAGCTAAACTTTTCACGTTGAGTTTACTATCACTGACCTTTTTAAAGTTCAATTTATCGATCGCCACGTTCCCTGTGCTGTTTCGTTTCGGGAAATGTGGAAAAAGATCTTGTTTCGCAAAGCTCTGAGGAGATTCTAGTTGAAAAAGACATTTTTGAAGTAGATCCTGGGTTTCATCACTTCTCTTTAAGAAATTCTGAAAGCTTTCTTGGTCTTGCCGTTCTTGTTCGACTGATCCACTAATAAACTGTACATCATTAGCAGACACAACATCTTCTCTTGATGGTTCTTCAGGGTCTACATTTTCGAACCCTTCATTTGATTGCACGACATTCAATGAAGTACTGATTTCCTGAGAAGTCTCGCTACTCGTAGACGTTTCACTCAAAATGCGATGACTTCTTCTTCCATTTAAATCAGTTCTCGTTAAAATATTATCTGATGAAGATTCTTCGTCGGCTAATTCCTGCTTGATCGAAATTCTAGTGCATTTTATCTGGCTGTGAGACTGCGGGAATATACTAGTTTTATGAGCCGTTGGGTTGGATAACTGCTCGAAGAAATCCTGACAAAACTGAGTATCAGGTGCTGCTGGAGTTTCTTTGGATGTCGGAGATGTCTCAGATGATTTCAGAGCTACAGTAGCATCAGAATATGGCTCGTAATCTTGACTCTGAGAATCAAACACTWTAGACTCTTTTCCACATTTTTCTTGATATTGTACTCCATAAGTATTTAACTCACGTTCATCGATATATTCAGATTGTTCACTTGATTCGTTGATAGATGGAATTCGAGATTTTAATATGGGAGCGACTTCTTCGCTGGTAGTCGACGTTCTGCGGTGTTCGGGATCAGATATGTGGACTGGTTCAACACCAGACTCACTGATCAAGTCTAAATACGCATTATCTGCGGGTTGTGCTATAGAATCCGCGTCATCTGTCACAGCTGGTTCAGATTCCTTTGTATCTATCGCATCTTTCACGCACATACCCTGCAGTAATGTTTTTCTTAAGGAATTTGGGCTCAGTTTTGGTCGTTCAATTTTGTCAAAGTTAAGTAAGGTATCCGACTCTGCTCTTACAGCTAAATTACACGAAAGCGTTTGTTTCTGAGAAGAAGTTTGGGGTTCCGTCAAAGCTTTTTTGAAGGTTTCTCCTGCAGGAGAAGAAGGGTGGACCAAATCCTCAAAACTGTTGCTTCGCTCATACTTGAACTTCTCACGTTTCTTTACCGCTGACTCGCAAAGAACGTTGGAATGTGCGCGGATCTTTGCTGCAATCTGATCACCAGAGTTAGTGAAGAACTGAAATAAGCCAACACCAGTTGCGCTTTTCCTGCAATGACAAAAGCAGGAATATGAGCGTCACCTGGATTTACCCCAAGCGAAAAATTATATTCTGAATGAATATTTTAAAATTTACTGTTAGAAATGTTATTTATCAGTTCGTATTTACGGCGTTCTGTCATATATCCAAGAACTGCGACATCAATTTGCACATAGTTGGTATTTTTTTGTGTGGGTTTGCATGGCACGCCAACTTGCGCATTGAATTGGAGTTCATCGTGTTAGGTTTTGAAAAACACTCGAACACTCTACTCGCAAGTGATATTGCGACTGGGAATCAAACCCGAGACCCCAGATGCGAGAGAAAAGTGTCYTTTAGTTACACCCAACCTTACAGCCATCTCAGCCACACGCGCCCTTTCGAGACAAACACTCTAATCAAGGGAGAGATCTAACAAACTCGAGACCACAGAAGTGTACTTTAGTGTGCTATAGCTACACCCAGCCCTAACCTCCCTTTCTAAACGTTAACACGGATGCACATTTGAAAATCTTATAATAGATATTTGCGCAATATTGAATTAATCAATAGTTATGAATAATAACACGAAAGAAAATAACGGCAAAGAAATTAATGGGGCTTACCTTCCTGATTCTAAGCTTAACAACTGTGTTCCGTGTCCACCAGCGCTTTCCGCAGACTCACATTTCCATCCCCTTAAGTCAACAAGTGGCCATGAGATGAAGGAAATGTTGGACTCTAGACGATGGAGAACAACGTGTTCATCTGTGATGTGCATTCGATATTTATCGCGGATTCCGTTCTTCTCCGAAGATGGAGTCAAACGAGTGGTCACTAAGAATCCTAGAGTTAAAACAAAAGAAGTGAAAGATTAGAAAAATTACTCGAAGCGAATTCAATTTTCACTCGAGTCAGTTTTAAGGTCCGGAGACGTGGTATACAATACATTTGCTGCACGGAACGAAACCACACGTAGCAATTTTTCCTGCAACTATAATATGAATAAGGAAACGCTACCCGATCCTTGACAGAAATGACACGGTTCTTGTTCACTCTGGTTAAGTTAAACTGGTTGTGTGCAACTGCGTAGAACTCGATTCTACTTGTGCAACATTGTGCGTATCCGTTGCAGAAATCAACCTGCACACACACGTTGCAATGTTGCGTTCGCGTGTGTGTCGCGTGCAAATGTTGCATCATCTGTGGGGACTTTTAGGGGTCCCGTCACGGTGCTATAGACCTCTGCATTAAATCACTGCCTGGGGGTCAAAACAATTGAAAATATTGACAACAAAAAAAAGATTCCCATCCTCAAGAGAAGAGAATTCTATTTTGACCCCCAGATTGGGGATTAGTGCAAGGGGATTAGTGCAAGGGGTCTATATAGGGGTTATGAATTAAGGACTTCAAGAAAACAGCAGAAGTGTATGGACCGCCTCACCCTACTAAATCGTCTTATCTTACTAAGGTACTTACTAGGGTACCACTTATTAACCAGTGGCTAATAAACCTGCGGCCATCGTTCCAATGAGTTGATTGTTGCAAAGGGAAAAAAACCGGAGTTGAACCACAATAGAGAATCAGCAAGTAACTCTTTTCCCATATGAAGGCACGTTCAGGAATTGAACTCATGATTACGGCACACTGGCAACGCGCATATCACCATTCTTAAACTACGAGAGTTACACCACTATTAAATACAGTACCATTAATTATTCACCTTGATTATTGTCCTCACGGGCAGGTGGATCTGAGGCTCTTCGTAACCCTAAATCAACATCCAGTACAGGGCTACCTGATGCAGCAACATTAGGGACACTACGTCGGGGTACTGGAGGCGATTCGGGGTACACCAAGTTCGTAAGGTCTGGAGGGCATTCTTGGGGAGTCCCGGGTTTGATAGCAACGCGATTGAGCGCTTCGACCCATTCTTTCGTGTCTTGTTCGTTATCTGATGCCAACATTAAAGCGCTATGAGGAGAGACGATCATGAAGGCATTGCGCTGTGTCTTAGATGCGTCGGTTGTTCCAATATGGATGACGTTTTCTAAACTGATCCGGTTTATATCCTTGTTGCCTCGAGTCACGTGGTAAGACGGCTCATCTTTGAAATACTCAAATACTGGAGGAAAACCTCGAAGAACGAAATACTTGGACTGCCAGGCCTATGCGGGTTAGTAATTACAAAATCAATCAATTAGGTCAAAGATAAAACTAAACTTATGCTCACCTGATAGACGATGGTCACGCGATTGCGTGACTCATTAAGCACGCCACGATAGACTGATTTACTATTAATGATATTAATGACGTCTCCGAGACACGAGCGAAGCAAGTTCGAAAATAGCGAGCGTCGAAATTGCGAGGTKTTAGCGCGCGTTTTAGGCTACTTCCGTTTTATTCAGCGCGCGTGAACTAATACGAAGATTTGCCAAAAGTCTAATGATGGTAATGATGATGATGACGGTGATTAAAATAACATATTAAACAACAAAATGTCAACACCAAAATAACMAGTTTAAAATGAACTCATTTGAATTTGCTGCCGCCATTTTGGAAACAGGTCTAATTACCTTGAATCTAACTTTTCCTGTTGTAGGCGGACGTTTTATCTTTAGGTAACCACACTTTTGGATACTCTCAATTGTTGGAACAGTCGCCATTCTTTGCTTACTTTATGYATCGTCTCGTCGAGTGGGTGTATTTTATCATTCTGTCGAAAAAAGGTAGAACTCCTGGTAAGAGCGACTATTGTTGCATCTTTTCTTTTCTTTTGCTTTCTTTTAGCTTCTTTTTTATGCTCTCTCTCTCTCTCTCTCTCCCTCTCTCCCTCTCTCTCTCTTTCTCTCTCTTATCTTTTTTTTTGCGTTCAACAACAAAGGTTCTCGATTTTAATTGAAAGCATACGAAGGAAGTTGAGGTCAATAGTTTCATTCTTTGACAAGTAGCGCTCTTCGGTGATGTATACAATTACGTGATTAAAATACCAGAAAAAGAAGCAACCCTTCAAGCTTCAAATTTATTTATCGTCTAGATTAAAACTCTCACTAAATAAAGAACGATTTAAACGTTTTCTGATGATTCAGTGTTCTAACAAACAACATCTATTGCCAAGTCACCAAACACTTTGCATGCATTTTGAGTTTAAATAATTTAATAAAAATCCGAAGTTTTAGGATTATAACAGCACAAAAAGAGGTCAGTTATATTGAAAGCGATACTTGCCTGAAAAAATGGGAAGAAGCGAATAAAATGTGAAGCTAAAGAAAGCCAAGCGAGAAAAATAAACAAGGTTTTGAAGCGATGACAAATTAAAGATGTGACAATTATACGAGTGTTAACAGACGAGTAACTCTTGACTCGAAAAATAGATAAATTTATTCAAATAATATATTTTCTTCGTTTAAACGTTATCAGGCATTAAATATTCCTATGATCAGTGATGAAAACACTTGCTTGGATGAATTATTCATAGACCAAATGAACATTATTCGTACTATTTAGATGAACAATTTGTTGCGTTGGCTGTAATATTTCCTTTGTGGTCAGCTTTTTTAGCATTTGAACAAAAGGGATACGTCCTCAAACAATACCGAATTAAGAGGGTTTTCGGCTGAAATGTTTCGCTTAATGACTTTCAAATACTAATTTCCATTCGAGAATTTTAATCTAAAGTCGAAAGTCCTGACAATATTTACAAAATGCTGGTTCGCCTAGACGCTTTCATTAGGCCATGATCGACGATTTATACAAATTTTCAATGTGAAATTCAATTCTACGACCCTTCGTCTCAACCTTAAAACCGAATCTTTAAAAGTGTATTATAGCGAGATACATGATGTTCAAGAAATTATATCATGTAAAATAAGGCCAGATACATGGTATGTGCAAACTAAGATTATTATTGAATTATATATCGAGTCAATTTTGAACTATTTTTGAAATAATTCAACAATATTCAAAAGGGTATCAATAGAATTGAACACTGATAAGATCGCCATGTAGTTTCCTAATATTTATTTCGAAAATATATTTTAGTAAAAGGTCGCAATGGAAGAGAGAAACATTGATGAACTAAGCTCGCTTAAGGAAAGATATATTATATATATWTTTTAATTATGGAATTAACTAAATTCTCGATTTAAAAAAATATTGGGTTATTTAATCATTATTCGGTTTTAAGGGATAAAGGGATAAAGAATTCATATATATTCTTTCTGTATTAGTATTTCACGTCGATATATAGTTGAGAATGAAGTGTAGGTTCATGAAGAGTACTGTTTTTTTATGAGCTATTTGAAGTATAACATTTTACCTGCTATATTTTTCTGTATGTCGTGCCTCGATCTCAACTTGATGTTTTCATCGCTCACTGCTCAATACACGTTAACCAACGAAAATATCCGCTATCTTTTTCTCCCAAATGCAAAACTATACGTCCAAGAAGCAATTCATTTAGAAGTAGAAAGAACTAAAAATAGTAATTGTCTGTGAAGTACATGCTATCCTTGCTGTGTACGGTACCTTTGCCCGTGGTCAATGTGGTTGAACAGTAGTCTCTAACTGCTCTAAAAATCCACTGTCCTTGCCTCGCAAAAAAAATCAAAGAGTTATAAATCCAAGAGGTGGGTTTTGAGATAAACTGTGAAGAATCGTTGATAGATTTACTGATGATACACAAAAATCGACCTCTGTGAGACCTCTGTGAACGATGTATTCCGATCAAAAAATGTCACGAGAAAAATTAAATAATAATAGAGAATACCCGTGAAGCTTAGCGGTCATAACTGCTTCTGTTAGGGGTGGGGTAGGGACAAGACGTGAAAATAATAAAAAAATATAAAGATAAATGTGACTAAGTAACTCTATTCTAATATTTTCTGTGCTGTAACGCATTTTATTTTGCAACTGTCATGTCTAAAARTCGTTTTAAAAATTTTCATTCAATAATTTTTTATACTATTGCTGCCAATTTTCCTTCATTAATTTACTAAATTCATTTACTAAATACATTTACAAGCACTTTGTTTAAATATCATAATCAAGATTTTTTAGATAAAAAATATATATTATATATTTTGTGAAATTATTATGAATCAGGTGATTTTGAAATTTTGTATTTGTCCCTCTCTCCCTAAGGAACCAGATTCATGTCCTTACCCCTACCCCGAGGGGTTCACACTGACAAGAGGCCACCTGAAAAAACAAAATGGAGGAAAGTAGAGGCGATCGCGGTAAAATAAAGGTTCTCACTTTAAACTGCTGGTAAGAATAATTGTATTGTTAATCATTGAAGATTTTTCAAGTGTGTTTTAATTATCTTAAATAAAGGATTTTGAAGYCGTTGATGAACCGATGTTCAACTTGGTTGCAGGTATCTGAATCCAAACATCTTGTATTAGGGTCATTTTGTTAATGTTTAACAGTGTTTCAAGCTCGCTTCATGGAGCACATAATATAACTGTTCATTCCCTGATCATTCAGCTCTGTCATTCAGTTGGTCTTTATCAAAGTGGTAGTGTTTTTATAGAGCGGCAGGTTTTGTTTTGATGTGGGATGGGGGTAGACAATATATATCACCGCCTCTAGATTTCGGATGTTATGCAATATAGGATACAATCTTTTGATTTCCCATGATTAAGGTCTGTGAGCCAGCTAGTATATTGCAGATCAGAAGCCCATTACTAGAAGCAAATCATCTCCCATACTGGGTCTGTGAGCCAGCATATTCCCAGATCAGGAAGCCATTACTAGGAGCATACATCTCTCATAACTGTCTGTAAGCGAGCATATTCCCAGATCAGGAGCCCATTGCTAGAAGCATCCATCTCCCATACTGGATATGTGAGCCAACATATTCCCAGATCAGGAGCTCATTACTAGGAGCATTTATCTCCCATACTGGTTTTCGTAGCCAGCATATTCCAAGATCATGAAACTATTACTAGGATCAATTGGGTCTGTAACCAGCATATTCTTAGGAAAAAACCCCATTGAAAATGAATTCAAAGCAGAGACACATCATTGAACAAATCATTGTTGTCTAGTGACATGCTTCTGACATGCATTTCTTTTTTCGTATCTAGGGGTATTCCATATGTATCCAGCGATGTCAAAAAAAGATTTACTTACATTGCAAAAGAGTTGGCCTCTGGAAAATATGACATCGTTTCTCTTCAAGAGGTAATTAATTCAATCCTAGCACAGCTAACTTACAGTATCTGGTCAGGACACCCTATGACACACCCCCAAGCATGAAGGACCTCTGGAAAATTCTCTGGGCTGACCTAAGTCAGGGCATGGCTAACTCACAGATCAAACCCTGAAACAACCTCTGGGCTGATCTAAGTGAGGACACGGCTAACTCACAGATTTAATCCTGAAACAACCTCTGGGCTGATCTAAGTCAGGGCATGGCTAACTCACAGATTGAACCCTGAAACAACCTTTGGGCTGATCTAAGTCAGGGCATGGCTAACTCACAGATTGAACCCTGGAACAATCCCTGGGCTGATCTAAGTCAGGGCATGGCTAACTCACAGATTGAACCCTGAAACAATCCCTGGGCTGATCTAAGTCAGGGCATGATTTCAAAGATTGAAATGGAATCAAGCTCAAAGGTTTTGCAGATGGAGGAAAGATATATAAAAAGCAATAATTTGTTATTATACTTCCTTGTACCATTTAAATAAGCAGATATGTTATCTTTGCCACAAATTTCTTTCTCTCTGATTGTAGGTCTGGAGTCAGACTGACTATGAATATGTTGCTAAAAAAGTAACAGAAGTTTTACCATACGCAGTCTATTTTCACAGGTTAGTTTATGCTTTCTTTCTAATACTGATACTTTGTAACTCGATCCTTTTATTTTCTTTAAAAGATTATATTCCACTAACATTTTGTTTTTTATATTCAGTGGTGTCATTGGCAGTGGTGTCTGTGTGTTCTCTAAGTACCCTATAACAGATACGTTCAACTATCGCTACTCTCTCAGTGGTTACATGTACATGATTCATCATGGGGACTGGTTTGGTGGCAAATCAGCTAGTTATTGTCTTATTGACCACCCAATGCATCCAATATATCTATTTACTACCCATGTAAGATTCTCTATGTTTTTTTTTAAATATTGTGTTGAGTTTATATGGTTTGGTTACCACCATTAGTCAATTTGGTAAGGTGGAAAAGGTAGAAATATCTGACTTCCTAAGTTTACTGTAATTAGTATTTTTGATTAATGGAAACCAGAAACAGATGACTAGCGCTGACAGTGGTCATGAAATTATGAAAATGGGTGCAATGTATTTCTATAGTTTATACAGTGACAAGTACACAGGTTTTGCGCAGCAGAGTTCCAATGGGTGCATTTGCATAAACCTYGCCCATGCACCTGAGTCAGTCCCCCACAGTTTCACACAACTGTGGTTTTGCACAATAATACCTGCACATGCCTTCACATGCCTTGACCTTTTCTCATCCTTTAAAGTGAAGAAATAAAAAACTTGCTTGCTGTGCTGTGTGCTGTCATAAAGCACGCAGGGGTTGGCATAACACGAGAGAAGTGTTAGGAGAAACATGACGTGTAGCGAAGTGCTTTTGGACACTTCTAGAGTGTTCTGCCAATCCCCAAGTGCTTTATGACTGCACACAGCACAGCAAGCAAGTTTTTTATTTCTTTTATGAAATACAAATTACAATAATAGATAGGAATGACGTAACGGAAAGTGCATGCCTGTGCAATGTGCTGTCATAAAGCATGCGCCAAACCAATCAGAACACAACATTCATAACCGTTATATTATAATAATTTTTAGTCATCAAAGAGAAAATCTGATCATCTTTTGATAGGTAATTAGGTTAAAGATTAGCATGGTCATATCATATTGGTAGTTAAAAAATCTATTATTATTATTTTTACTTTTCATTGTAGCTTCATGCAGAATATAACCGTCAAAATGACTCCTATCTTGGTCATCGCACAGTACAGGCATTTCAGTTATCAGAATTCATCAATTATCTAACAAAACCGTCTGACTGTGTTATTGTTTGTGGCGATATGAATACTGAGCCTACAGACACATGTTACAGAGTCATCAAACATCTTCCTGATCTTACTGATACATGGGATGTGGCTGGACAAAAGGTTGGTTCATAATTAAATAAATTGTTTGATTCATCAACCCAAGAATTGTTTTATGTTAACCTAGCTTTCAACCTCTGCAGTCATCTTCAGAGTTAACATGAAACATTTGAATACGCAATTTGCATTTTAATACAACTGAACTAGCATGCGCAAGAGGTTGATTGGTAGAACCACAGATATACTATTGTCATTATGTATTATCATTATGCAGCACTTTTCAAAAATCAAATTTAAAAATCAAATTCAAAAATTTGCCATTTTGTTTGAGGCCCCAAAATGCTGAACCAGACAARAACAACAACAAAAAAGAAGAAAAACAGCTTACTGTAAATAATGAAAAATAATAAATTACTGTATGAATTCTACAAAGCTTCCATTTTGTTGCCAAGAGAAGGGGGGTTGGCCCCCTTAGCCCTGCCTACGCCCATGAGAAAGGAGAAAAAGGATGTAATTGTGATTCTAAGATGTATTGTATATCTCATCATTATAGGGTGATTTCCATGGCAACACTTGTGATCTGAGCACTAATTCCTATACCACCATTAAACTTGACAAAGAATTGAGAGGAGGTTCGAAAGATGGCAAGAGGATAGATTATGTATTCTACCGAGCTCCTCCCGGCACCATTAGATGTGTGGAGCACATGGTCACCATGGGTAAAATTCCAGGAGAAGATTTGTCATACTCGGACCATGAAGGAGTTCTTGCAACATTTATTGTGGATGATGATACATCATCAATAGATAGTTCAGCAGTTGATGGAGGTATGTATAATCAATGCATTAATGTCTATAACCATAGGATAGACCAGACCTGCAGATACAATGAATATTGTGTGGTACCAGAAATTATCCATACCCACCCCCCCCCCTCCCCCCTCCCAATCAAAGAAATTTTTAAAGATCCTCCTCCTCACCCCCCAAAAATTGCCATTTTCCTCAACATAAACTCTGTAATTTTTGTTCTTTTTCTGAGCCTCACCCTTCGGAAATTCCAAATTTCTTGATGGGGTGGGTATRGATAATTTCTGGAACTACACATTCCCTGATTGAATCAAATTATGAAACTTCTATTAAGCAAACACTAGTCATGGTCCCAAGGGTGCCCGTTTAATAGAGGTACCACTGTATTTAACTCCTACCTTATTTTCCTTCCCAAAGATGAGAAAGAAAGCTTGAAGAAAAAGTGTGAAGAAGTTTTACAAGAAATCATGAATGTCACACAACATGAAATAGATAGCATATCTAATGCAAGACTAACAACTTGTCTTCTTATCTTCCTTCTTGCTGTTTTCATTTTCTCTCCGTTAGTGTACTCAGCTGGCTTCTCATCAGCTTTTCACATACTAAGACCATTAGGGAAGATGGTGTATGTACTAAGGTTTTTGAGCACAGTGTTTTTGACTGGTGTACTTTTTTATGTGATATTTAATTCAAGAGATGAATTGAAAGCCTATCAGAATGTACAACATGAGGTTAAACTGCAAATGAAATACAAGAAGTAATGAGAAAATTAATGAATGAACTGGGAAAATATGATTAAGTGTAAATGTGTAGTTCCAGAAAGTATCCATACCCCACTCATGGAGGAAATTGGAAATTCTGGAGGGGAGGGGGTCAGAGAATGAACAAAATTACAGAGTTTGTATGGAAGAAAATTGGAAGTTCCTGGGGGTAGGGGGGTCCTTCTACAAATTCCCTCCATGTTGGAGGTATGGATATTTTCTGGGACTACACGATGATAATGATTTTTACGTGTGATCTTGGATTCCAAATGAACACACTGCACAATGGATAATATTTATGACAATAAGCAATCGCATATTAGCATTCATCGCAAAAATTTAGATKATTTTATTTGATTATAGTTTCTTAATTCTTCAATTTAAAATTCTCATTAAACTTTGATAATCTTGATAAGATATATATATATATGAAAGGAATATAAAACATGCACACATGTCTCTGTTCTGTGATATAAACACTCTGGGAGCTGTAGAGCACAAGAGAAGCAAACTTAGGARCACAAGGTGTGGCCAAGTGTTTCAATTGCTTTTCGAGTGCTCTACAGCTCCCAGCTTATTTATATCACAGTACAGACAAAAGCAGATGTTTTATATTSCTTTCATAAGATATGTTTGAGCAACTATTTTCTGTCCTCTGATATAATCACGGTAGCCAACCAATTAGTGTGCACCATATATCTCATATATCTTATAATAATTATGAATCAAAATGTATTTTTGAAAATCTAATAAATAATTTCCAAACTATTTTGTTGTTCTTTTTTTTAGCTGCGCAAATAATTCAATATTTTAACTGTAGGGTATTTCAGGCTTCATAAAATTATTAGAATGGAAATCATTATGAAACGCCTAATAGTAAATAAATGAATCATAATTGTAAATAAATGAATGGTCATAAATTAGTCACAGCCCCAAATGTTAATGCATTTAAAAGTGGAGTCTGTAAATTAGAACACTAACTTTGATCCTGACCTACCCGAGCACTTAAGCCTTGAAGAGAGGGCGTGCTTGTAATTTGGTAAATGTGAATGTAAATCAAAATAATATGTAATAATTTTTTCAAAAATTATTTTCTTGCTTATTTTGACACTTTCAAATAACGCCATTATCGTAGAAATCTTGTTGTAAATGAAAAATTTCAGTATCGAACCGGAAGTGCGGTATTGATTTTCCATATAAGGTCAGGAATCATGGTTAACTTCCTGTCTTGTCTACAGTCAACCCAACCCATATCAAGTTGAACTTTGAAGCGAGAGTCAGCAAGTAATAAGGATCATCTAAATATATCTGCTACAAACCGCTAAAATGTACAGTTCTGCAAAGAAAGAGAGTGAAATACAGAATCAGCAAAGAATTATCAGTCAGCTAAAGAGAGAATGTAAAGTTGAACGGATGAAGGTATCACACGCAGCCTCTGAGTGAGTATTGTGAAAATTATCCCACTTATATTATTCTCTCAGTTCTCTCTCTGATGGCACGTTATTTCTGTGTCTTTGATCTCCACTTATCGCCTACTACCATCTCTATTATATTCAGAAATCCCTTTGTATTAGCAATGTAAAATTTTTGCGTAATTGCTGAAGAGTTTTGTCAGGAAATCCAGAAATCGTAAGCAGATTTGGATCATGCTGAATCACGCTAGTTTGCTGATGCTTGCTAAAAAAATTAATATTCAATTTAGAGAGTAATTATTGTTTTCATTTTATTGTTTTGAATATATAAGGTTTATCGAGAAACTTTAGTATAATTTTTAATTCAAATTAAATGACTTTGGAAATATAAAGTGCGTCAGAATTTATACTGAACTACATCCTTGATGTTTTGTGAGTAAACACCACTAAAATGTCATTCAACAAGCAGCTTGGGCTCAAAGTTGTGAGAAAAATCAAAATATTATCGATCTAGGATTTATATATTCGTCAATCTGGGCAATATTTTATAAACTGTGCTGMCTTTTTGTTTTCTGATTATAAAAATAATTTCAATTTTGTTATGATTGGAGAGCGATTGAGTAATTATTAATTAACACGATAATAAATGTTGTGATTAAATTTAAATCTTTGAATGAGACATTAATGATTTATAGTTTTTTGGTTTACTGTAGCTCTTTTTCTTCACCTCACTTCATAGGAGTTTCATTTTTATATCCTGTATTGTGAATGTATATTGCACTTTCTGTTTTGAGTTTAAAGATTTCAGTTTATTTTAGTCCTCACTTAAACCTCAGTTTATGACAAACAATAGGACGTTGTTGTCTCATGTTTATTAGTCTTTAGTGATTAGGAGCCCTGCTATTTTCAGTGCTCATCCTTTTAGATAATATATATACTTAAATATTCTTATTTCAGATGAAATTTATTCTGAAACTTGATCACGATGTTGCATGTCTAGATAGGAGAAGTGAAATTCAATCCCCAAACATTCCAAGAAAGCCACATGTTTTCGTAATGTTAACATTCAATTAGTCAGTCGCCCTATAATTGTGAAGGTATTTCAAAGAAATATTTTTAGCCAGCAAAATCTTTCAAAAATATTGATAGACATTTAATAATAATAATAATAATAATATTTATTTATAAAGCGCAAATACAAATCTGTTCTAAGCGCTAGTAAACAAACGACAAAGACAACGACAAAATAAAAT